AGTCAGGTATTTCTTTTCTAGTTTAGAGAAAAATATGTCTCTGATCTGAGAATAAGCCTTACAATCTAGTAAGATATGATTTTCATCTTCAATTTTGTTACTTGTACAAAAGTGACATATCCTTTCATTGCGAGGGATTTTTTCGTATCTACCTGTGTCAATTCCAAGTTGATGACTACTTATTCTAAATCTACCTAATGCTTTTCTCGAAGGGTTAGTGCATCTTGAGTCGGAGGTAGGGGGTCAAGATCTTTCTTGGATTTGCGAAACGCTGCTGCTCTTTCTTTGTTGATTTCCACCTCTTGTTTTCCCGGATTGTAGAGTTTGCATACAAAGGCTTCAGCTTTGGCAAGAACGTCAGCACTGATTTGGCTTTCTTCTCTAAGGTGTTCCAAGAGGTCAGGTGCATCTTCGAAGACTTTCCATGCCGATGCCTTTCCCATACCATATAGGCGTTATATAAATATTTTATTATTATTATTATTATTATTATTATTATTATTATTATTATTATTATTGTTATTATTATTATTATTACCAGAGAACTGGCTTGTCGTATCACAGCCATTAATGGCATGAAATGCCAGAAGCGACTTCCTCTTCTCCTCAGAGAGCGGGATTCTGTGAACTGGTATGTAACGCCTTTGTCTTCATGTACCCGCCAAGATCCATATCTCTTGACAAAGCTGCTCTCGGTGTGCCAAAAGGAGGACAAGAAAGTCCGTATCACGACACAAAATGTTGACTTGCTTGTACCCTCTTGCTGCTGCGTCTCGGGCATGCAGTACTATTCTCGTATCTGCCTCTTCATGATCTGATGCGAGCTCTCTTATATCTTGTCGTGATGTGTCAGATGACCACACCTTCAGTGTATCCTTGAAGCCTCCATTGATCACCAGCTCCCGCCCAGGGGGCGCGCTGTAACTCTCCGAGATTTAGTCGAGAGGAAATGAGCTAGGCTAGCCTTGTTATCTTCTAGAATAATGAACCTTTCCCAGTTTCCAATTCTCTGATCTCTGTTATCCACATTGCACCTAATCCCTGTGCTCTTTTTCTCCTTGCGGTTGTCTCTGGTTCCTCCTTTTATCGAGTTCTTGAGGCGAATTTATGAAATCAGTCTTTTTTAAATTGAGAAAAATAATTAAAAGAATCTATTTTTATATTAATTTTCAGAATACATTGCTCAAAATAAAACTTTTTGAAGCACATATTTACCTGATGAAACATAAGTTTTTTTTATTTCTTATAGAAAATAATTCCTGAAGAGCTTACTGAAACAGTTAATCAATCACGCTATTCACACAGCTAAGGCTAATTCACTATCTATTCAATGGTTGTTATCTAGTCACGTGACCCATCATAGCTGATCACCTATTGCATTTTTTGTGTTTTTATTGGATGTGCAAATCGAAATGAGAAACGTCAGTAAGTTGAAAACTATATTAAAGGAAAGTGTGAATAGAGCGTCTTTTATGCTTTAAAATCGATTTTATTGGAAAGTCACGTGACTCTTCATAATTGATCACGTGACGCATTTTGTCTCCCACACTACTGTCTATCGAACTCTAAACGTCAAGTAGCAAAGATTCAGCTATTTCCCCATCGTATTGTGCACTTTTTATTGGGTTTATATAAATGTTACAGTTCAGCCTCGTTTTCATGCTGCAGGAGCGAGGGCCTAGACAAAAGAACCCTCTTAATGACAGATGTCATAACATTTGGAGTGGGCAACAGCACAATTCTTAATCAGGATGGCAAGACGAAGATTTTAAGCTATGTTGCCTGCTTCTACTCAAAATGTTTAGCGAAAATGAAAAATGAGCCCCCTGCGTGACAGTGCTTCCTGACTATAGAAAGCTATAATTTAGCGCCTTCACTACAGAGATTGGAATTTCTGTATCGAGACAGGTACCCATCTACGTCGAGAGTGGACATGCAAGTCGACCACATTTTTCGAAATTTGTAAAAACGATAAATGTGAAGATGTAACATATGCTGAAACTGTAAGTTTGGAAAAAGAAAATCATTCTTATTTTGAAAGTTTAATTACGTCACATGTTTTGCTCCTAATTCTGCTTATGATGTCTTACGTTCCGCTCATTCCAATTGGATTCTTCTTGGTTGCCTTTAAAAAAGCCCTATCGATCGCTCTTACTAGATAGCTATAATTTAGCGCCTTCACTACCGAGATTGGAATTTCTGTATCTGTTTCACTCCCCCCCGTATTTACTGTCCTATGTTGTTTAGAGCATCTTTTGGTGTTTTAATTTCATAGCTCGGTCTCGGAGCGAGTAAGGTGTAATATCGAACACAAAGCATTTTTCATTGTCAAGATGACTGGTCCGGCCGGCAGTTCTGACTCCTGGAAAGCGCCCTATGTTGAGGGAGTCTTTGTTCCCCAACAAATCTACATTTTTAATAATCCAGTGATTATTAACTAATTCAATGTTTTGAATACACCACAGTGACAATGCAATTCAAATGACAGGCCATTTTTTTCATTTGGATCATGCAAACCTTTAAGTAAGTGATCATACTTATACTTTTTGTAAGATTAGTCTGTTTTGTCAAATAGTTTCTTAAATGATTTATTTTTTTGGTTCTGGAGTAAGAAAGTGAATTCCTGGGTTAATATTAAGAAAAGGGTTATACGAGCTACCCTTCTGTGGTATTAAAACTTAATCCTTAAACTGGAAAGGTAGATTATCATTGTCATGTCATAAACAATGTCTACTCCTCAATTCTTTTCTTCTTTAGCTTCAGTGACGAGCACCTCTGTGCTTTATTTCAGATTTTGTTTTCGAACTTTTTGCAAAACAAAAAAGCAACTTTTTTCTATCACCTGCCTGACTATAAAACCTACCTAACTTATGTAGTTAAAGACTTTTCTTAGGAAAAGTAATAAAGACTTCTGTAAAAATGTCGGTGCCTGGATGGCCAAGCTGAATCAAGGACTCAATATACAGCATTCATTCCAGTTCATCTAACATGTAAACGTGATCACATTAAAATGAGAGATTATATGGACAGACGGGTTACCCCACCTAAGCGGGTTACCTCACCAATCTGGGGTACCCTACCTCCATGTAAACAGACCCTAAGTGTGGCCTGAAAAGCATGGAAATTGATTCTTAGCTTTCCTAGCTTTTCTAGTGTGGAAGAGCCATAACAGCCAGAAATCATTCTATGTAAGAAATTCCAGGATTTTAGGCATGTAAGGAAAATCATGGAAAGCTTAGAAAATTTCTTTTTCTTGTGCTTCCAGACCAATCAGGTTTTTAACATTCATCTGATAGATGATTTTTACTTAAAAAACAATGGCGTCCTTGCGAGATATTCTCCGCAGGAGATTCGCGGCAGGATTTTGGCCGCCAAGATTCCCAGAGATCTCGGCAGGCTTTTGGCCGCCGAGATTTAGAAATCTCGGCAGGATTTTGGCCGCGAGCTCGCCGAGATCTCACCGAGATCCAAAAAGCTCGGCGGCTAAAATCCTGCCGAGAATCTCGACGAGATCTCGGTAAAAATTTTGTACAGGGGAGGTTGCGACTCACTCGTTTAATGTTAGGACTTCAAAGATTCCAAGTTGTGGTAAAATCACACCCTCTGGGCAAAAATTCTTCTCCTCTGCTTAACTCTGTGCTGTTACCAATTCGATTCGGTTGCTTACACACACTGCACTTCTCTAATATAACTTTACTCTCAACTCAAAATAGCTTACTCATTACATCATGACTAAAAGCGGTGAAGTGAAGAAACGTTCTAGAAAAACTGAAGCGGTTGCTATGGCGTTATGCATTCCAGAAAAAAAACCGACAGTCGAATGTACCCTGTACTTTGTGGGACTAAGACAGAGAAAATGTAGTGGAATGTAGGTATGGGCAACTCAGTTCAACAGAGGAAATAGAAAAACAAAAAACAAAAGAAACCAGGAATAATACAAAACAAAATAATTGGCCGTGCAAAAGTCGCGCAGCTTTGAACGGTAAATTCTGCTGAAACGTCCACTATTTCTCATTTATCAGGTCATTTTTTGCTTAGGTTAATATACACTTACTCAACTTTAATACGTCTCGTTGCTTTCTCTCGCTTTTTCGAGAGCGTTTCTCGCGCCCTCCGCTCTCGCAGTCGACTTGTCGCGAGTGTACTTAGGTTACCGTATTTTAGGTTGTAATGCTGCACAAAATTTGTGTGACCAATAAGCTTATCTTTTTTCTTTGTGGTCGGAATTTTATCTCGTTGCATCGACGGTTGCAATCAGTCAATAATCTTTATTTATGCACGATATAAGGTAAACGTTAAGACCCGTTAAAGGGATGCTTCGCCTCGGGTCGTGTCTGATAGAATTGCTCAATAATAGTAAAATAAATAAAATGAGGAACGTAATTAAGGCAAAGCAGGTGCAAAGGTGGCAGAAACCGATGAATGTCAGTGGATGACGAATCCCAGCAAAATTGATACCGCAGATACAAAACAAATTCTTGATGAGAAATTCAACCATTTAAAATCTGAATTTTTTTTGGAAATATTCGGTGTCCACGGCTGAATAGTCAGCAACCTTTGTTTGCGACACGTCACGAAAATTCAGGCTATCTGGGTACAAGATTACTTACCGGTAAAAAACTTCCGGAAAAACCGGGTTTTCTCCCATGCAACGTGACCTTCTAAGCCTAATTTTCTTCAAATCATACGAACGTCTTCTGTAAAAGAATAATGAGTTTTTAAACCCGAAGGAATAAGTTCTGATGTAACTAAATGAGTGTATTTCAGCGATGCAGTCCTGTGTCTAATTACCCTGGGTTCCTGGTTATCTTTTTTTATCTGGAGTTTGATAGTTTGCGACGAAGCAACGAAAGCGAGGGGCGAAGCGCCGAGAGAAAAAAATAACGGAGCTTTTTTGAACCGTGAGTACAGTTAATTTCTAGGTATTTCGACAACGGACCTCTGGAGCCGAGGGTAGTGCCTAATATAACTTTCGGAAACTTGGCCTAAAAAATACAGAATATATAAAAGCATAACAATGTTACGATCGATATCTCTCGCCTAACCTTGCATGCAGGACCGTGCTCATGGTAGAATATTGCATTTAAAGGCATGTTTAGTATATATCTCCTGTATATATATGGGAGTATAGTAAGATATCAAATTCAAACGGAATTAACGTAATAGTGTTCTAGTAACGAGGCAGATGGTTTCAGCAAGCAGCACGGGACTCACTTTGAGCAAGGTGACTGGTCACCCAACTGAAAGGCTAACGAAACGAACCAAATTGAGATCAAATGTCAGCCTACAGGAGGACACTTAGTAGGCCATCTCACACGCGTGGTCGATGAGTTTAACATATAAACAGAAATCTGCTTTATAGTAGAAAAACAGTTAAACTTGATTTGGTAACGTATGAGTCTGTTCGACCAAATACTTTAATGGCCGCTCTCAGCGCTTTCCCTATTTGCTTTCAGCGACGACTTAGTACCGATATTACGTACGTAGTAACACATAATCTTTGTTGGGGGTGGGGATTACATCAATTTAAATAACACGACAGCTATAGGGGATTCCCTGAACCTTGGCTAAATAACCCGGAAAGAAGGTTCGAAAATCGTGACCCCTCTGGCTTTAACTACAATAGCCTGCGTCGCACACAGTCTCATATACCGAAATATACCGTATTTCCTCAAATAATAGCCGGGGTCGATTATTTCTTTTTTCGCGTCAAAAGGGGCGATTATTCGAGGGAGGCGATCATTTCAAATATTGCTTACTGGAAGTCGTACACTAAATATTTTGTTTTATTATCCCATTTAAATAAAAAAATTATCAGATCAAATAAACTGAAAATGGGCTTTTTAAGTTTTCCAAATTTGGTTCCGTGATTAATTTTCAGAGCTTGAATCGTCTTGATCAG